CACTGACAGAGGTGGGGCTGCCATGCACCGGCGCCACCGGACCCTCTGACCACCATCAGTAGGCAAGGTGGGTGAAGTGTCTTGCCCAAGGACACAACGACKGRGAHDGCTGGACGGGGGATCGAACCAGTAACCTTCTGGTTCCAGGACGACTCCCCTAACCACTCCACCACAGCTGCCCCACAATATAGTGGGTCTAATATATAGACCCACTACATATAAAACATATAGTGGGTCTAGAAAAGTCTGAAATGGTTTAGAATTGAAAGTGGAAATTTTCATCAATCCAAATGAATAAACATGGAACGAATACAGCAATGATGTTCCTTTATAAGCTTTATATCACAGTTTTTACTAAATACAAAGTTTGTAGAACAATTTACTACACCCCAAAAACATGTCTCAATACAAGAAGAGGTGTTTCAGACTGGTGGAATTACAAAACAAAACTGCTGAACGGCTCATTTTCTAAATCTCGATTGTTCTGTTCAGTGTCTGAGGTGAGGACAGGATTTCTGTCCATTTTAGAGGGAGTACACCCTGAACAAGCCAGCAGATTTTGTTGAATCTTCACAGTTCTACGATAACCCTACTTCCTGTGGATCCAATCTACAGTAAAGGATCAACTTCCTTTTAACAGGAGCAGAACCAGATTCAGGATGGGTGGTCATCTTCGGCCGGCAGTTGAGATGGAAACATTAAGACAAGCGTAGTTTAACAATTAAAACAACATTTAATGACAGCAATTGTATGTATAAACATGTAGAGGAGAGTGACTAAAGACAACAGCAGAGTGAAAAATTTGGTCAGTTTGTCCTCCAGCAGTCTAAGTCTATAGCAGCAGAACTAAGGAATAACTCAGGAAACCTAAACCTAAATATATGATTTATCAAAAGGAAAGTCTTCAGTCTAATCTTAAGGTTGGTTCACAAGAGAGGAGCTTGATAACTGAAAGCTCTGCCTCCCATTCTACTTTTAGAAACTGGAGGAACCACAAGTAAACCTGCAGTCTGAGAGTGAAGTGCTCTGTTAGGWAABTATGGAACAATAAGATGTTTAATATATGATGGAGCTTGGTTGTTGAGAGCTTTGTATGTTAGAAAAAATGTAGACTTTCATAAAATGCCAATGAAGACGGGATTAAATGCAGAAAATGTGATCTCACCTCATCAGAAATGTGTTAAACAAATGGTTCAAATGACTGAGGTTCCTCAAACTTGCTGTCTTCATTCTCTACATTATTTCTTCTTCAATTTTGACCATTTGTTTTTGACCATTTGTTTTATTATGAGGATCATAAAAACAGTGATCTTTGATAGTTGCAACATAAGATGAATGATATATTTAGTATGTCCAATATATTGTGAGTTTTCTATTGTGCACCCTATATGAAATATGAGCTTACCAAGAGATACAGTAACTCTACAAATATGTGACACAAATGGCTGCCAACATAATAATACAGACTGTAATGGAACTAATACTTTTATGTTTCAGCTAGTAATTCATGACATCCTTTAATGACCTAGGTTTTCATGACATGCTGTTCATCTGCAGACAGAATGATTAAAGGCAAAACAAGATTTGCTAATAACAGTCATTCTTAGATATCACTTGTGTTTATCTTTGTGTTTTCCATTGACCTTGTATCAAATCTTGCTAAGATGACATAATGGTGTTTGTTAATATATGTATAAATGAGGTCTCTCAGTGGAGTGGAGAGTGTTCAACAGTGGACACAGTAG